GGGACAGAGCTGGGGACAGAGCTAGGACAGAGCTGGAGGACAGAGCTGGGGACAGAGCTCTGTGTGTGTGTGCGGAGAGGGGGGGAGGGGGGGGGGGGGGGGGGGGTGGGTGGGTGGGTAGGGAGCGGTGGTGGGAGTGGGGGGGCAAGGAAGAAGCGATGAGAGAAGGAACGCGATTAGGGCGGGAGAGGTGAACACCACAGCGCCCTGCCATGATGCACTGGACGAGATGGAGAGGGTGGTGTGTGGGTTCAGGGGTAGGGGGAGAAAAGGAGGAAAGTGAAAGAGCAAGGGAACGAATCTCTTGGCTTCTGGTTGTAGCCTGTGCCTCATGCAAGCAAGGCAGGTGGGCACATGCAGGGGCAGGGCAGGCAGTGACCTGCCAAGTTGTTTAGCAACAACCATTGCAGTGAGTGCCAGAGCCGTGCAAGGGCATGGCGGGGGATAATGGGGTGATAAGATGATGATGTGATGGGGAATGGTTTGATGGTGCGATGGAATGACGGAGTCATGAGGTAATGGGATGGGGGTGAAAGGATGATAGGGTAATGGGTTAACGGGATATGGTATCATGTGGTGAATGAGTGCCAATGGCAGTGGTATTGATACAAGCTATAAAGCTGATTCGGTAGAGGCAGGTTCAATACAAGGCGATGGGGACCCATGACGCATCCGCAGAGATTAGCGACCAGATCGACATGAGAAGGCTGGATGCGCCACACGCGCGTTTGCTCTCGGTCCAGAAGACGTGAACCAGCTCTCCGCCTTAATGACTCCGTTCCCCCCGCGTTTCCAGCCCTTCATCACCTCACCACACTGGCCTCCCGATCCCACTGCCTCATCAAGGGCGGGCTACTCCTGGCATGGGCCGCGGCGGAGGAGAGAAAGGGGGAAGACCGAGGTGGGTGGGTAGGAGAGAGGGGTCAGAGAGTGGCTTTAAAGGAGGGACGTCAGAAAGAGACGGCGTGCGCTGCCCATTGGATTCCACTGCCTCCTCGGGGGCTGTTGTTTCTTGTGGGAGAAAGGGGTAGGGGAGAGGCGTGGCAGAGCACAAAGGAGAACTTCTCACGCCTTGCATCGTTGACCTCACCTTTTTGACCAAGCCATGGCCTCTTACGACCCCCGTATCCCTTTCAGCCCCCAACTGTCAACCCTTTTGATATCCTGCCTATACCCTCGCCCCCTGCCCTCACTCACCTGTATGCGTGGCCATGCGTGTCCTGTGCCACCAGCGTTTATCCCCCCCCCCTCTCCTAATCCCCTCTTCCCCTCCTCCCCGCCCCCCAATCGCTTACCCGTATCATCCCTGCAATTCCCATGGCTCACCCGTAGCCGCGGCCACTCGCGCCAGCTTGCGCAGCCCCATGCGGTCTGCACAAGCTGGCATGCGGTCGCATGGTGCTGCGCATGCAGTCCTCACACACCTGGCGGGCGGAGGAGAGGTGCGCAAGGGATAGGGGAGAGGGACAAAGGGGGATGCTTCGAGATGTCTCAAACAACTGCACCAGGCGACGTGCTGGCAGACAGTTGGTGCAAACCTGGCGGGCGGATGTGACAGTGGACACGGGGGGGGGAGGAACGGGTGTGGAGGGGCGATGGAAGGGACAAGGGCTTAGGGTTGTTTCAAGATATTGCAGCACATGCTCTGCAGAACCATTCCAGGGTGCTACCATGTGGTGCTCACACCTGCAGCACACCAAGCAGATGGGGGTCATAGATGGGAAGGGCGGGATGTTTTGAGACGTTTCAGCACCGGCTTTGTACCATTGCAGTACGCAGGCACGCATCCTCGCACACCTGCAGGGGGACACAATGGTGAGGTGGGGGGAATGGGGAGGGGGGGGAGGGGGAAAGAGGGGAAATGGCGGGGGTGGAGTGGAGGGGAACAGTGGGGGAAGCTAAGAGTGGGGAATGTCGCACAGTGTGTGCACAACCTGATCTGATCAATTCCGCACGGTTGGCGGAGGGTTGCAGAAGTGGGAGGGGTCGGGACTTGAGAGCAAAACACGGCTGTTTGCAATCACCATTCGTCACCTCATTTCTCCTCGCTTGCGCAACCCTCACACTTTCATCACCAATCAACCCCCTTCCCCCTCCCCCCCTCCCTCCCCCTTCACCACTTCTCCCCTCTTCCCTGGTGCAACGCACCTGCTTTTTGTTCTCCAATGCCTTCCACCACCTCCCCCCCTCTCTCCCATCTCCCAGCCCTCTCCCAGCCCCTCTCCCAGCCTCCCCCAACATCTCCCCTTCCCCTGCGCCAGACTCTACCCTACCCCCCCCCCCCCCCACCCGGAATTTTTCTATCGCGCACAATCAAGCACAGAATGAGGATGAGGAGAAAAAAGCTGGGAGGAATGGGGGCGAAGGCACGGGGAGAGGAGCAGGGAGGGAGAAGACAACCCTCCAGCCAGCATCGAAGGAGGTGACAATGGCACCAGAATTCTCAAAAGCGGCAAGTTGACGGTTCTCTTGATTGTCTTTTGACAGCCATTCGATTCGCCTGCGACGCATGCGACGAATTTCTCGCAATAACGCGGCGCTACAAAATTTTCTCGGTGCTCAAGGAGCAGCTAGCGACGCACGCCGACCCTCGCTCGACTTGCCATCGCCCATAGGAGGCATGAGGGATGATGGTGAGCAATGTTAGTGCAATTGCTGAGTCAGCTCATACGGTGTCCAAATGATGCAACAGTGGCGCTCCTTTTGACACTATTCTTCGAGATTATGACAGAGCAGTTACGGAAGGGAAGAAACAATCATGGCCATCAGAGGACCATTAGGTCAAGTAACTCCCTCATGCCCGTCTGGCAGCATGTGGATGAGAGCATGTGCGCAGACAGTGGGATGAAAGCTAACAGACTTACTTAACCGTAACAGACTGATATTAACAGACTTAGGAAAACCGGAAGATTCACTTGTGCTCGTCTGACAGCATGAGTCGGTCAGTTGCTCCTTGGGCAGTTTCACCGATCGGGACACGTCTTGCTGCCTGGTAAAGGTCAGGGAGAGATCTGACAGCTTGACAGCAGCGTGGGTGTAGACCATCGCTGTTGCTCCAATCACCTGTGGACACGTGTGCAGATGATGGGATGAGGGGGGAGAGAAAGAGGAGGGAAGGAGGAGGGGGGAGGTGAAAGGAATGAGGTTTGGAAAAAACACGATTGGAAAAGTGAGGTTTGGAGAGGAGTGCAACACGCGAGATTGTTGAGACACCCTCCACTTATACAACCATTAGCAGCGTTCGAAACTAGTAGCTGCATCAGAAACCAGTAGGCACGCCAGATCTCTGTCACACATCCCACAAATCATGCTACCAGGCTTTTGGCCTAAGTGGCGAAATACGCTTTTGCCTTTAAGCGTATAGCGTTTATCCGCTTGCGTATACACGCAAAACGCAATACGCTAGCAAATACGCAATACGCTCGGGAGTTTTTTTCTGGGCAGCCCAAGGTGAAAATTTTCTAGGCAAGCAACCCTAGCAGCAACGGCATGTGGCAGGCGAGGGCCACTGCCAAGTTCACTGCAGTGGGATGGGAGATGGGGGAATAAGGGGAGATATGCATGGGGTGTTAGGTATGGGGTGGGAGACTTTTTCGAGCATGTGGCGGGCGAGGGCCACTGCGAGGAAGGGGACAAGGGGAGAGGGAAAGGGGAGAGGGAGGGCGGAGGGGTGGGGGATTTGAAAGAGAAGGATATATGTCAAAGGGTTAGGGAGGGAGAGAGACGTAGATGGAAGTCAGAGGCGAGGAAGGGGGCGGGGCGGCACAGTCCAGCCTGGGCAGCTTGGGCGAGCAGCACCGCGAGGTTTCACTGCAGGAAAAGGCGGGGGACTGGCGAGATGGAGAAATGGAGGGGGGAAGGGGGGATAGGAGGGGCTCGACGGATGGGGGAATGGGGGAATGGATGGGGCATGGGGATCGGGTGGGAGAGGGGAGTGAAAAAGAGAATGAGGTATTGGGGAGGGAGGGATAGGGGGGATGTGGGAATGTTGAGAAAGGCGGTAGGTAGAGGGGGATGCGGGCACGGGGGAAAAGGGAGTTGCGGTGCATGGGAGGAGGCAAAGGTAAGTAGAGCGTATGAGAACGCCATGGTGGGACATGGAGTGAAGGGGAAGGGGATGAAAAGGGGGGTGGGATCCGACGGGCGAAAGAAGAAGCGGCGTGGGGCACACTGACAGTGAGCGGTGAATGGAAGGAGAGAGAAGCGAGCAGCTGCAGTGGATGGGGAGAAGGGGAAAAAAAAGCATGGGGAGATGGGGGGATGGGGGGAGAGCATGTAAGAGCAGCGCATGTAAGGAAGTCAGAGGACATGCAGTGAAGGGACGGGAGATACAAAGGGGAGGGGGAGGGGACGGGGACGGGCTGATGGTGAGAGAGATCAGGAGGGGTATGAGGGGAACGAGAGTAAGTGGCTTCGGGCACGGCAGAGTGAGGCAATCAGGCGATGAGGCGCACCGGCAGTGGTGGACTTGCCGACGCCGCCTTTCGCAGGATGCCCACAGCCACAATGTGCTTCACCCCCGCCAGCAACCGGCTGGCGTCGCCGCCCGCCTCCGCTGCCACTGCCGCTGCAGAGCCCACATGGCAGCAGCAGCAGGGGTTTCAGTAACTCGCCGTATCTTGTGAGAGGGTGACATGAAGCATGAGGGGGGAGGGAGTGGGGAGAAATGAGGGGTGGACTGGGGGGGAAGAGGGGGGAAAGGGGGAGAAAAGAAAGGGGTTGGAGGAGAGAAGGGAGTTTAGATGTCTTGGAATGGGTACATAATGAATGGAAATTTAGAAAAACAAGCTTAGGAGGATAAGGAGCAAACATTGGTGAGGATCAGGGGGAACATTCACGGGAAGAAGAGCAGGGAGGGAGAAGGACAATTCTCCACCAGCGCTGAAGGCGACGATGAGGAAGGCAATGCTGATCGCCATTTGACCCACCATCGCCAACTGCTCGTGCAGTCCGACGCCTGCGGTGCTCGCGACGTTGCCTCGACGCAGCTGCGACGCGGCGCGACGGCTTCCTCGGCACTCGCGGAGCAGCAAGGACGCCCGTGACGCTCACTCGAGTCGCCGCCGACATTACGATGTCGGCCAGCAGTTTTACCGTAGCGCTACTGAGTCAACGCATACGGAATCCAGTTGACTGGGCACAATTGACGTTCCTTTTGAGGCGATCCTTTGAGAATACGTCACAGAGCAGTTACGGAAGAAGGGCCGAGAAAGGAATCATGACCACATTTCGCTGGGGGGAAGCAAGAAATTGGTAGGAAGCTGCGGGAGGGGAGGGCGAAAAAAAATCGTATCCGCCGTTTTTCTGATGCGCCCGTGCCAATTGCGCATTTGTGCGTCTTGCGAACGGCGGCGGCGTAGTCGCACAGAGAGGGATTGTGCATGGTAGAGGAGAAGAAGGATAGTGGCGTGGGAGGAGAGGTGTGAGGGTGATGCCCTCTTCTTAATCTGGATGATAGACCACGTACTGAGATCCCATCATAGCTAGTAGGGAATAGATGACGAGCATCACACACGACTGCCATCTTCCCGTGGTATTTTCTAGTCAACGCCAATTCGCACGATGAAACTCTGGAATCGCCCACTACCTTCTCACTAGATCACTCGACAGTTCTTGATCGCGATAGGGTAGGCCACGGGTAGTTCGCTAGGTCGCCAGGTTGCCAGGTCGCGAGGGCGCTAGTCGCTATCATCCGAAAAAATGTCGTTCGGAAATTCTGCTCTGGTGTTACTTGAAAGGCGAAATCGCGCGCATCGGCGAAAATCGTGTTTGTCTCAATTGAGTCGACCTAAATTGCTCCCCGCTCGCCACGTGGGCGTTTGTCTAAATTGAATGGACCTCCCTTCCCCCCGCCCCCCCCAGCCCCCTTTTCCCGCCCTTTCCCCACCGTCATTCGGGCAGCCGCATGCTCTCGCGTAAAAGTCACAAAGAGTCACCAATTCCAAATTCCAGCCAGGCTACACACTTTCGCCACGGGTGGTTGTTCTTATTGGTCGGAAAATTGGTGATTTGTTCAGCGCGTCAGAGTAACATGCACTGGCTCCGTTTGGACGCGCCAACGTTATAGGTAGTGTAGCAACGACATGGAGTGGTACCTCGATACCGATCATGTACGGTAATGTACAACCAGGCGACCAATCGACGGTCATGCACGAGCATGAGTTCAGACCAATTGCCGAGGGCGGTTTTGACAGCGTACATGAACCTAATCCTGCATTCATGAACTTATCCTCGCCGCCAACCTCTGAACATGAGCTTTCATGCCACATCACGACCGTCACAGCTCCCCTCTCTCGCACCCTTTCCCTCTGTGATAGCTATCAGCAATCATCCAACCTTTGTGCTCTTTGTGGTTTGTTTCTTGTACTCGCGATACCTTAGTCATTGCAAATTGCCAGCTATTCGGTGGCGTATAGCGTTCTGGGCGTGTGATGGATCTTCGTAGCAAAACGGTCCTCGGTAAACGGCAGGATGAGTCGGGCCACGAGGAATCCGACGGCGGTGAATCTCACGATTCGGACGTCAAGCTCGTCACCGACGAGCACGGGAAAGGCAGGAGAAAGGGGAAGCAACGGAAAGGACCGGAGAAGCAGCATAGCACCGGTGGATTCAACTTCAAAACCAACATAGTGAACAAGGAGGTGTTGCCGCCCGTCGATGACATCATCTCCGCCTTCACCAAAGGTCGTGGGCCGCCGGCTCAAACTAAAGGCTGTCGCGGCCCTACCATCAAGAGTCAGCACTTCCCAACGAAGCCGTTGTACAACGCCATCGGCCAAAACGCCTTCGTGAGCCCTATTGACGCGATGCGCATTCAGGATGGATACGAGCTCAGCACGGCATTAATCGACTTCCACAACATGTGAGTGCGTTGTTCCCGCGGGTAAGCACACTCACACTATATTGCCGGCGCCTAACACCGGCTCTCCGTGTCTGTGTATTCACCCCGCGCAGTTTGCTGAGCATCAGGCATTCCAAAACACCAAGCGGGGAGACATGGGTTGCGCTTGACACTGGAGCGTATCTGATGGCGGCGAATCAACAGGTTCTCTTCACTGGATTCGAGGGCGGCACCATCCTTGACTACAACTACGTCCTTGTAGTTGTAACTACACTGTAAGACATGCATGCTCAATCTCGATGTACGCGCGTACCGCGGCATCGCCATGCTGTGTACTTACATTTAAGTGGTATTGTGGCAGTGAGCCAAGGCATTTCAGCCTTGTTGTTGTCAAGGAGCCTGGCAGGGCAAGAACAACTGCTATAAAATCGGGGAACACGGAGCTTCCGGTGGCCTACCTGTTCGACTCGACTGGTGATCATCGGAACATGGCTCCGTCGGTGTTCGCCGAGATCCAAACGTAAGTTGCACGGGCATGCATCGCCTCCTAAGTTTCGTCGTGCTAATGATCGCATGGTTGCTTCGCCGCTTGTAATGCACTTATCCATGCTTCGTTGCTGTGTCCAGGCTGCTCGGTCTGGCGCTACAAGCCGAGGAGCCCGGCCTCTCTGCCACCGCAATCAAGCAGCGGCTTGATCCGATGCCTTGCGTCCCGCTTGGGGTAAGCACTCAAATCTTTCGCGCAGGGTTTTTTTTATCAGATCTCATCCATGGAACGTTCATCAATATTGCTCACCTTGTTTGTTTTCGCGTGTGCAGTACTATCAGTGCCCGATGCAGGCCAACCAAGTAGACTGTGGTGTCTACGTTTGCATCTACGCATCTGAGCTGGTTGCCCGTGGCTTCGCTAATCTGGACGATGGGCTGCCAGCTTTGCCCTATGGTGGTGGCCTTTTCCGGAGGGGGATGCGTGCGGACATAGTCGAACATGCACTCAAGCGGTTGATCCCAACCCTGGAGAGGTCTGGAGTTATGGTGCCCCACCAAGATCCGCCGCTCAGCAAGCGCCGTGAACAAGCCAGTGTCTCCAGAGCTGGCCGAAATCGACGCGAAGCTGCGTGATGCTGTCGGCGACATCCACAACATCTCCTGCCGCGTGGGGTACTGTGAGAAAGACATCACCAAGCTCGAGCTCCTGGTGGAGAGTCTCACCAACGACTTGTCCACCACCCGCGACGAGCTCACCGCGTTGTCAGCGCAAGTAGCAGCCTTACCAGCACCGCCGCAGCAGGGGCGTATTGGAGGAGCTGGCGGACCCAGCGCGAGAACCGACGACCCTGCCACCCAGCAAATTCTGGCGCCGACTGCGCAACTCGAGCAGCAAGGGGATTCTCATCAGATTCAAACGGCCCACGGCGTTATCAACGGGCTGCTGCCCGGTACGCCCCGGCGATGCATTGACCTCGTATCGTTGCGTTGCGCGCGGTGGAGCTCTGCCTGCCCCTTCGGAGGATCACTCTGGGTGTATGGGCCCGCCGCCACCGCCATCACACTCTGTCGGGGGAGTGGTTGGATCGGGGGAGTACGCGGGTGTTAGGCTCCTCCCAGACGGAACTTGGCAAGCGAAGATTGTCCCTGAGCCCGGGTCATCAAGGACGCTGATTCTTGGCCACTTCCAAGACCAGCAGCAAGCGGCCCGCGCCGTTCGCTGCAGCTGCAGCCGTGCTCAGGCGGAGCAAGCCTCCCCGGGGTCGTGTGTGGCAGCTCACCGGCGAGGAGATGGACCTGCTGGATGGCTGCACGGCCGAGATCGTGCGGCAGCTCACTACCGCACGCGTCTGGGGGCGGTGGGAAAAGGTGGCGCGTCGAGCTTGCTTCCCTCGGTGGTGCCAACCCCCACCCCTGCATCCCCCGCTGTTGTGGCAGCAGCGCCAACCGCACCCGCAGCTGCTCCAACCACACTTGCCCCGGCGAATGCAGGCATCGCCCCTCCTGCCGTGGCTCTTGCACCTGCACAGCCCACCCCTCCCGGTGGAGCTACTGCTGTGCACGTCGGAACAACTCCTGTGCCTGCGGGGGTTACTCCCGCCCCACCAGCCCATTCTACGCAAGCCACATTGACCAACCCCCCTGTGCAGGCTGATGTTGTGGCGTTTGCCTCGCTGTCGTTGCCAGAGAGCGACGAGGGGGATGTGGGCAACAACGCGACAACCCACCCGACAGGTATTGATTTGTTGCAGCGTGGTGTTTAGACAACGCACTAGCCAGGGTTTAGACATTAACCTGCTGTTCTCGTCTTCAGTGTGTCAGAGCCCAACAGCTACGAAAGTGTGACGATGGAGCTGATTTTCATGAACACCATGCTGTTTTTCGCACTGTGGCCTTTGTTGCTCTTTGCGGGGTTTGTAGGACTGTAGCATGAACAATATGTTGAACTGCTGGCTGTCAGCCATGTTTTTGAGTTCACTAAAGACCCCAACCTGGCGGCAACAAACCCAAACGACTAGCGCACCAGCTCACCAGCCGGCCCAATGTGTGGTGATATGGGAGTAAGGCCTACGATCATGACACCACAGACCATCATGATCTCGTCGATAGTCATGCGCGTTTTTTCATGACGCGTGGTGGTTTCGCACGCCACAACGCCACGAAATATCACCCCCCGACTGCGCGACCCTATAAGCTATAACGATCCGGCACCTGTGACAAATCGTGGCATTTTATAACAGCGTCTGCAACACTTTTTATTTCGGTTGTATAAATGCAGAGGAAACAACTCAAACAGTGACAACGGCCATGAACACGGGTTTAGGGGCCATAAACGGTGTCTAAGGTCTCACAGAAATGATTATGCCGTGTTCCACAACCCCGGCTTTAGACACTTGCATAACGAGAGTAGCATCGTACAACCGATTTTTCATAAATCACTATCTTTTCACTTGTTGTCCCGAGTACGCATAGTACCCCGCCTCGGGGTGTGTGCTGTGCGACTGGTAGCCTTAATCAGAGTTTTCATTCTGCCCTCGAGCTCAAGGGCTCATCACATCATGGTCAGTGGTGTGCTTTAGACTAGCATCATCTCCTGGTCACTGGTACGCCAGTGTCTACCTTAGTGAGGTGATCCTGAGTAAATTATGAACAATGACAATAGTATCAAATCTCATGCTCCATGTAACGTACTGCTGTTTTGTTACCAGGGTTATGGGGTGCGTGCTGAAAGTATTGTGCGTGCTGAAAGTATTGTGCTGAAAGTTTTTAACATGTAGTCAATGTTAGGAGTTTTAATTATACCGGTGGCATTGTGCACGCCATATTTTATTAGAGGATGAGGGTGTATAATTTTCCACAACACCGTCACAACAAATACGCACATCGAATGACACGCAATGAAGGGGCCATTCTCGGTTCATGTTCCTTCGCGCAAATTAGGGTCAACCCCGACGACGAATCATGTTGCAGGCATCACGTCCATGAGAGTTCATGTTCGTCCGTGCAGGTAGTCAACTTCCGAGCCACTAGCACGAGTTTGTTCATGATTGAAAGTGTAGGCATTCACGCGCGACTTCCAGGACCCGCGCTTGTAGGCTGTTCGAGTCTTGACAGGTCGAGATGCGTTCATGCACTATGGAGAGTTCATGATTCGTCATGACTAGCTGCGCGACATCGCCCCGCGATTTCCAGGCCCTCGAATCATGTATGTAAAAGGGTCGATCATGACGCTCTATGCACAGGTCAAGGAGAAAGCAGAGGGAGTCAAGTGCACACTTTACACACATGAATCTCCCAACTCCTGGCCAGATTTGTGTGGGTCTTGTTGAATAAGTATTGCACAGCAGCACTACTCAACTAAACAATTATGTTTCGTATATTAAATTTTCTAGTACTCTCGTCAATGAAATGTTTTCTTCGGCAGGGATCCAAGGACACAAAACAAGGCCCAATACTAGCATGGGAAAGCCTGTTTTACTCGACATTCATTCATGGGCAGCTTGGTGCCCCCCTCCATGCTCTCCTGTAGCAGTTCCATCCTCCCCCTCCTCCTCCTCCTCCTCCTCCTCCTCCTCCTCCACCTCCTCCCCCACCGCAGCCGGCGCCTGACCGTACCCACCGTACTTGTACTTGCACCTTTTGCGGTTGTGCCCATACTGTCGGCATCGACCACACCGATAAGCGTGCGGCGGTGCCTCGAACCGGGTGTGATTCTCTGGCCTCCCAACCCTCGTCTCAATCAGCGCTGGTGCATCGCACTCGCCCACTTGTGCCAGTGGAGCCTCCATAATCAGCCGGTCCACACAGGTACCCATCACATCCCGGTTGTATGTCTGGCGAAGATTGCGAGTGGTGTAGTACTCAGACACAAGGATCTCCACACTCCGCTGCTTCAGAATGCACATTGCCACGGCGTGGGCACAAGGGAACTGGTACTCCTCCCAGTTCCCGCACTCGCACGTCCGGGCATCGAGGTTCACGTTGAAGCTCCGCCACTGGGACTCGTTTTCCCCCCCCCCTGGTCTGGATGGTTCCCACAGAGTTGTCCCCACCGATGAACCAATACCCCTGGCACCTCTGCTTCTTTTGGTCCAGTCGTTTCGATGCGGCAGCCGTGAGATACTCATCCCTGCAGCGCGCCTTCTCCTTCCTCTCGTACCACTTGTCGCGAGACCAATCCCAAAGGGATGCTAGGAGCCACGTTGGTGGCAGCATTCGGATGCCGCGGACAGCGCTGTTGATGGACTCCGCGGCGTTGCTTGTGTAGATGCCAGAACGCAGTGTCACCGCAAACAGACGGGCCCAGTGCATGAGCATGATTCCCCCAATGCGATAAGAGGATCCGCGCCTGTTACGGTAGAACCCTGTGCGCACATGTATTTCGGGTCCTCCATCAACATCGGCCGCCTCATCCCCATCCTCCGTAGCATCCACTGGCACCGGATCATCCTCACATGCTGGCTCATCCGGCCCTGGCGCAGGAATGTTCTCCCGCTGCCCGCAGTCTGGCCATGGCAGAGCCAGAGCCGATGCTGGGTGGAAGTGCTCAGTAAACCCACCCATCTCAGATCCCTGAGTGCCCGTGGTCCTCCCCGTGTCAATGTCCTCTGACCGGTACCACTCCCGGGCACGTCGCAGGACCGTGTTGACGTCAAATGCTCGTGCACCCGGGTTCCCCAAAGTGGTGAGAGCGCCTATCCCATCACCCGTGGAGCATGATGCCAAACCATTATCACGCACAGATGCTGGAGCTCGCTGCACGTCGCCCCCAGAGGGCACTGGTGAGCCCCCCCTTCCAACGGACCCCACCCCACCCATGAAATTCGCGCCCAGGCCAACCCCAAACGTAACATCACCGCGTGGCCCGCAGTGGTGTCGCCTGGGTCCTGCAGTCTGAGGACTGGGCCAAGACCCTACCAATTCACCGCTCGCAGCATATACACTATCTCTTGCTCCAGGGCCGAACAACGGCTCCCCCCCATCCGCACTCCCGATGCCTGACCATCTTGCTCCGCCGCGTCCTCGCCCTCCAGAAGCATCACCAAGCGGGACTCCCCTCCCTCCACCTCCAATGCCGGACCATCCTGCTCCTGCACCCCCCTGACCTCCAGGAGCCCCACCAAGCGGGACTCTCCTCCCTCCACCTCCAATGCCGGACCATCCTGCTCCTGCACCCCCCTGACCTCCAGGAGCCCCACCAAGCGGGACTCCCCTCCCTCCACCTCCAATGCCGGACCATCCTGCTCCTGCACCCCCCTGCCCTCCAGGAGCCCCACCAAGCGGGACTCCCCTCCCTCCACCTCCAATGCCGGACCATCCTGCTCCTGCACCCCCCTGCCCTCCAGGAGCCCCACCAAGCGGGACTCCCCTCCCTCCACCTGCAAGTCCGGACCATCCCGCGCCAGCATCCCCCTGCTCCCCGGCGGCCCCACCGAGCGGCTCTTCCCGTACTCCACCACCAACCCCCGTGAAGTCTGATCCGGCACCCCCATGCCCTCCGCAATCGCCCGCGGGGGGCACTCCTCTACCTCCCCTGCCAAGGCCCGCCCCTGCAACGCCACCGCCTCTCCCTCTGCGACCACGTCCAGATGAAGCTCGTCCTCACCCTCCACGGCCGATGCCAAAAGCAGCCGCTCCGCCATCCCCTTCGTCTGGTATCCCTGACGGGACTCCAATACCCTCGTGCGCTCTGGCCCGTCTTCCAGGTGCGTTCATCCCCCCTCTGCCAGCCAGACCGCCGCCACGCCTGTTGTACGCGGACGTGTTGCCCTCCGGGAACCCACTCCCTTCGGGTTGGGACGCGATGTCGACGCCACCATTTCCCGCGTTGCCACCACGCTCCTGCCCTCGCTGTGCCCTCCTCCCTTCGCGAGCATCCGCGAACACGAAATCCCTAGCCCCCTCAAATGTTGCCCGGGCTCCAGGAGGGGGGACCCGAGGAGCCGGCTGGGGTTGTGGCTGTGGCTGCTGCCGGACAGGCCCGAACAGATATGCGGCCATGTCAGGAAAATCTCGTCGTGCGGCCCCGACAAGCGCAACCCATTTCGTTTCAGACCGACACTTCACCAAGCGCCAGAAGAACGCTGTTGCCGCTTTGCCGAACCGCTTAAGGTTCTGCTCCAGATGCCACGCACAGAAATAATGGGGGATGTGGCTTGGCATCACCTCCCTTGCTGCCGGCACCAACCCCTTATCGCGATCGCTGATGATGGAGGCATCGTCCCTACGCGCCCACTCTGGGAACCCCTCAAGGAACAGCTTCAGAAACCAGGTCGACGCGTCCTTGTTCTCCGACTCCACCAAGGCCCATGCAAGTAACAGAATCTCCTGGTTCCCGTCAATGGTGACGGCGATGAGCAGCACAGCCTTCTGCGCACTAATGAGATGTGTACCGTCGAGCGCAACAACCGGGCGGCAATAATTTAACGCATGCCGTGCTGCAGAGGGACGCACGTAGAATCGGTGGAAACACCGATCTAATGTGTCCAACCGCACTTGAACTTCCGGATCGATGACTGTGAAACGAGTGAGAAGCCACGGAACCTGGCGAAAGGACTCCTTCCAATCTCCATATCGCTCCTTTAAGATGTACTCTCGAAGCCGCCAAGCCTGCCAGTAGTGGATCACTACCCTTCCATGACCCTCGAGCATTCTTTTGAGCTCCACGGGTGAGATGAATGGATTTGCACGGACCAAATTGCCGTATCGCCGAGCGAGGATGGGAATACTGTTGGCTAACCCCTCGGCGTAACCCTGCCTCCAATGCAACGGACACGTATGCATTTCCGGAGAAACGAGCCGCGTAATACGCCATAAACCACCGTGTCCGATTTGCCCATATGTGCAGCTCCATAGGCACGCGGGTAACCATCCGTCCGATGAAGCCTTGCATCCAACCACTGCGTAGTTATGCTTCACTAAAAGGACTTTTACACCAAACCGATGCTCTAGAGCGTACGCATAAACGGCCTCCTTGCATTTATCACGGCTAGAGTACAGGCCCCCCAGCTCCAATGGCGCGTAGTCATTAGGCCTGTCGTACCTAGGGTTGAACTCGGGAGCCGCATTAAGCTGTCGCAAGGCCTGCGCTAAGGGATTAGAGGCCATACGCACGCGTTAGACGCTACATGGTGACCAGTATTGTCAGAGATAAGCTAAGACTATTCAGTGGAGTACTAATGTGGGCCCGGATATGAGTTGCCTAAAGTAATGACTGCGTTAGGTGTCTACCCGGTATTGTAAAACGGGAGACTCGCCTAAGCTTCACAGGAACATGATGCTTACGGAAGGGTTCATGAACCGTTGAGGATCACGAATGCTTTGATCATGAAACCGTGAAGGCCGGAAATGACATGGCCAGATCCCGAAGGACACAGTACAATCAACCTCTATATAAGCCTCTCGAGTTATAATACATGGCCCAGAAAATTCCGAAATTTTGCTGGGACAAATGATGTGGCTTCCTCCACGTTCAATTACACGTGGCATGGGGTTGGTTGGTTGCTTTTCGTGACTGCTTGTGGCAATTCCGAAGTTCACGCGAGAGCATGCGGCTGCCCGAATGACGGTGGGGAAAGGGCGGGAAAAGGGGGCTGGGGGGGGCGGGGGGAAGGGAGGTCCATTCAATTTAGACAAACGCCCTCGTGGCGAGCGGGGAGCAATTTAGGTCGATTCAATTGAGACAAACACGATTTTCGCCGATGCGCGCGATTTCGCCTACTTGAAATCTTACTTCCTCGTAATGGTTTGGAAAGTATGGCTGATGTTCGTGGCCATTATGCTTTTTGAGCTGTTTGTGAGCAGAGCGCACTTAGTACATTCCCAACTTCGAGGGACCAACCACGGACCATTTCGTATAGGTTTGGCAGTTGGTGCGATTGGGCGTCCCTCAGTTGAGGAAGGAACAACAACATTAGAGGAGGTTCGGGTTGGCCATTCGTCCCTCCAACATTGATGGAGCGCCAATGGATATCCCAACTCCCTCCCTCTACGATAGTTTCGAAATGTGGTGTTGAGCAAAGAATGTAAAATTCGATATAAAGTTCATTGTCTCGCGAATTTAAATTTGTGACTAATTAAAAGTGCTTTAATCGAGCGGGTAATACAATTGATGTGCTGCTTCATAGATCTCGCTATAAAACTGCAAATTAATGAATTCGCTACATTTCGGGTTCGTAATGAATCAATATAAAATATGAGTTTTATATTTTTTAAATGATCCGTTATTGATGTTCAATTATTTATTAAAAGAACATTTATTACTTAGTGTTATACTAGAACCAGGGAAACCTACAGCAAACAGTGCTACATTTTGAAAACACCAAAACTAATACGTGAAAGCACTAGCTACTAGGCCCTCGAGACCCTCACCACTAATAAAAACAACATCGCTGCGCGCGAACGACCATGCCCCAACACCCGGCCGCCACCAGGGACCATTTGCGGCTGTTGCTCCTCCAATTGCAGCTCTTGTCCAGTTCCAAATCTTGTTGTAATAAATGTTCACATCGCGGACGTTCTCGTTGGTGCTTCTCGGCAAATCACTGCCGTGGATGACGCGGTGCTCCACCTGAGGTGGTAGGGAATACCATGACTAGTATCTGCACGAGAAGATCCTTAAAAAGAATGTAGCAGATGCAGCAAACTGCACTCACCCCATTCAGCCAGAACGCTAGTAACTTCAGCGGGAGAATAAGCCTGCGACCTTGGGGGCGCTTGAATGAGGCGCTGATTGCATTTATGAAGCAAGGTGATGCAAACGGCACACGGTGCTCATTCATGTGCCAAGTAAGCATGTTGAACGCTGCAGGGCCTGTCGTGTCGTAGGGGAAAGATACGATACTTTGTGAAACAGTTGGAATGTGAAGCATTAGTCAGGCAAAATGGAAAAGGAAGGTACACATAGGACTGGCAGGCTGGGCCTATCCTGGCTTTGCTTACTGCTGGGGTGGGGAGGGGAAAACAGGGAGGGAAAGAGGGTACACTGGGGACTGTTGGGCTCTGCCTTGGCTGACTTTGCTTGCTGCTGGGGTGGGGAGGGGAAAACAGGGAGGGAAAGAGGGTACACTGGGGACTGTTGGGCTCTGCCTTGGCTGGCCTTGCTTGCTGCTGGGGTGGGGAGGGGAAACCAGGGAGGGAAAGAGGGTACACTGGGGACTGTTGGGCTCTGCCTTGGCTGGCTTTGCTTGCTGCTGGGGTGGGGAGGGGAAATCAGGGAGGGAAAGAGGGTACACTGGGGACTGTTGGGCTCTGCCTTGGCTGGCCTTGCTTGCTGCTGGGGTGGGGAGGGGAAAACAGGGAGGGAAAGAGGGTACACTGGGGACTGTTGGGCTCTGCCTTGGCTGGCATTGCTTGCTGCTGGGGTGGGGAGGGGAAAACAGGGAGGGAAAGAGGGTACACTGGGGACTGTTGGGCTCTGCCTTTTGCTGGCTTTGCTTGCTGCTGGGGTGGGGAGGGGAAAAGAGGGAGGGAAAGAGGGTACACTGGGGACTGTTGGGCTCTGCCTTGGCTGGCCTTGCTTGCTGCTGGGGTGGGGAGGGGAAAACAGGGAGGGAAAGAGGGTACACTGGGGACTGTTGGGCTCTGCCTTGGCTGGCCTTGCTTGCTGCTGGGGTGGGGAGGGGAAACCAGGGAGGGAAAGAGGGTACACTGGGGACTGTTGGGCTCTGCCTTGGCTGGCCTTGCTTGCTGCTGGGGTGGGGAGGGGAAAAACAGGGAGGGAAAGAGGGTACACTGGGGACTGTTGGGCTCTGCCTTGGCTGGCCTTGCTTGCTGCTGGGGTGGGGAGGGGAAAACAGGGAGGGAAAGAGGGTACACTGGGGACTGTTGGGCTCTGCCTTTTGCTGGCTTTGCTTGCTGCTGGGGTGGGGAGGGGAAAACAGGGAGGGAAAGAGGGTACACTGGGGACTGTTGGGCTCTGCCTTGGCTGGCCTTGCTTGCTGCTGGGGTGGGGAGGGGAAAACAGGGAGGGAAAGAGGGTACAATGGGGACTGTTGGGCTCTGCCTTGGCTGGCCTTGCTTGCTGCTGGGGTGGGGAGGAGAAAACAGGGAGGGAAAGAGGGTACACTGGGGACTGTTGGGCTCTGCCTTGGCTGGCCTTGCTTGCTGCTGGGGTGGGGAGGGGAAAACAGGGAGGGAAAGAGGGTACAGTGGGGACTGTTGGGCTCTGCATTGGCTGGCTTTGCTTGCTGCTGGGGTGGGGAGGGGAAAACAGGGAGGGAAAGAGGGTACACAGGGGACTGTTGGGCTCTGCCTTGGCTGGCCTTGCTTGCTGCTGGGGTGGGGAGGGGAAAACACGGAGGGAAAGAGGGTACACTGGGGACTGTTGGGCTCTGCATTGGCTGGCGTTGCTTGCTGCTGGGGTGGGGAGGGGAAAACAGGGAGTGAAAGAGGGTACACTGGGGACTGTTGGGCTCTGCCTTGGCTGGCCTTGCTTGCTGCTGGGGTGGGGAGGGGAAAACAGGGAGGGAAAGAGGGTACAATGGGGACTGTTGGGCTCTCCCTTGGCTGGCCTTGCTTGCTGTTGGGGTGGGGAGGGGAAAACAGGGAGGGAAAGAGGGTACACTGGGGACTGTTGGGCTCTGCCTTGGCTGACTTTGCTTTCTGCTGGGGTGGGGAGGGAAAAAAAGGGAGTGAAATAGGGTACACTGGGGACTGTTGGGCTCTGCCTTGGCTGGCCTTGCTTGCTGCTGGGGTGGGGAGGGGAAAACAGGGAGGGAAAGAGGGTACAATGGGGACTGTTGGGCTCTGCCTTGGCTGGCCTTGCTTGCTGCTGGGGTGGGGAGGGGAAAACAGGGAGGGAAAGAGGGTACACTGGTGACTGTTGGGCTCTACCTTGGCTGGCTTTGCTTGCTGCTGGGGTGGGGAGGGGAAAACAGGGAGTGAAAGAGGGTACACTGGGGACTGTTGGGCTCTGCCTTGGCTGGCCTTGCTTGCTGCTGGGGTGGGGAGGGGAAAACAGGGAGGGAAAGAGGGTACAATGGGGACTGTTGGGCTCTGCCTTGGCTGGCCTTGCTTGCTGCTGGGGTGGGGAGGGGAAAACAGGGAGGGAAAGAGGGTACACTGGTGACTGTTGGGCTCTGCCTTGGCTGGCATTGCTTGCTGCTGGGGTGGGGAGGGGAAAACAGGGAGGGAAAGAGGGTACACTGGGGACTGTTGGGCTCTGCCTTGGCTGGCCTTGCTTGCTGCTGGGGTTGGCAGGGGAAAACAGGGAGGGAAAGAGGGTACACTGGGGACTGTTGGGCTCTGCCTTGGCTGGAATTGCTTGCTGCTGGGGTGGGGAGGGGAAAGCAGGGAGGGAAAGAGGGTACACTGGGGACTGTTGGGCTCTGCCTTGGCTGGCTTTGCTTGCTGCTGGGGTGGGGAGGGGAAAACAGGGAGGGAAAGAGGGTACAATGGGGACTGTTGGGCTCTGTCTTGGCTGGCCTTGCTTGCTGCTGGGGTGGGGAGGGGAAAACAGGGAGGGAAAGATGGTACACTGGGGACTGTTGGGCTCTGCCTTGGCTGGCTTTGCTTGCTGCTGGGGTGGGGAGGGGAAACAGGGAGGGAAAGAGGGTACACTGGGGACTGTTGGGCTCTGCCTTGGCTGGCCTTGCTTGCCGCTAGGGTGGGGAGGGGAAAACAGGGAGGGAAAGATGGTACACTGGGGGACTGTTGGGCTCTGCCTTGGCTGGCCTTGCTTGCTGCTGGGGTGGGGAGGGGGAAAACAGGGAGGGAAAGAGGGTACACTGGGGACTGTTGGGCTCTGCCTTTTGCTGGCTTTGCTTGCTGCTGGGGGTGGGAGGGGAAAGCAGGGAGGGAAAGAGGGTACACTGGGGACTGTTGGGCTCTGCCTTGGCTGGCTTTGCTTGCTGCTGGGGTGGGGAGGGGAAAACAGGGAGGGAAAGAGGGTACAATGGGGACTGTTGGGCTCTGTCTTGGCTGGCCTTGCTTGCTGCTGGGGTGGGGAGGGGAAAACAGGGAGGGAAAGATGGTACACTGGGGACTGTTGGGCTCTGCCTGGCTGGCTTTGCTTGCTGCTGGGGTGGGGAGGGGAAAACAGGGAGGGAAAGAGGGTACACTGGGGACTGTTGGGCTCTGCCTTGGCTGGCCTTGCTTGCCGCTAGGGTGGGGAGGGGAAAACAGGGAGGGAAAGATGGTACACTGGGGACTGTTGGGCTCTGCCTTGGCTGGCCTTTGCTTGCTGCTGGGGTGGGGAGGGGAAAACAGGGAGGGAAAGAGGGTACACTGGTGACTGTTGGGCTCTGCCTTGGCTGGCATTGCTTGCTGCTGGGGTGGGGAGGGGAAAACAGGGAGGGAAAGAGGGTACACTGGGGACTGTTGGGCTCTGCCTTGGCTGGCCTTGCTTGCTGCTGGGGTGGGGAGGGGAAACCAGGGAGGGAAAGAGGGTACACTGGGGACTGTTGGGCTCTGCCTTGGCTGGCATTGCTTGCTGCTGGGGTGGGGAGGGGAAAACAGGGAGGGAAAGAGGGTACACTGGGGACTGTTGGGCTCTGCCTTTTGCTGGCTTTGCTTGCTGCTGGGGTGGGGAGGGGAAAAGAGGGAGGGAAAGAGGGTACACTGGGGACTGTTGGGCTCTGCCTTGGCTGGCCTTGCTTGCTGCTGGGGTGGGGAGGGGAAAACAGGGAGGGAAAGAGGGTACACTGGGGACTGTTGGGCTCTGCCTTGGCTGGCCTTGCTTGCTGCTGGGGTGGGGAGGGGAAACCAGGGAGGGAAAGAGGGTACACTGGGGACTGTTGGGCTCTGCCTTGGCTGGCCTTGCTTGCTGCTGGGGGTGGGGAGGGGAAAACAGGGAGGGAAAGAGGGTACACTGGGGACTGTTGGGCTCTGCCTTGGCTGGCCTTGCTTGCTGCTGGGGTGGGGAGGGGAAAGCAGGGAGGGAAAGAGGGTACACTGGGGACTGTTGGGCTCTGCATTTTGCTGGCTTTGCTTGCTGCTGGGGTGGGGAGGGGAAAACAGGGAGGGAAAGAGGGTACACTGGGGACTGTTGGGCTCTGCCTTGGCTGGCCTTGCTTGCTGCTGGGGGGGTGGGGAGGGGAAAACAGGGAGGGAAAGAGGGTACAATGGGGACTGTTGGGCTCTGCCTTGGCTGGCCTTGCTTGCTGCTGGGGTGGGGAGGAGAAAACAGGGAGGGAAAGAGGGTACACTGGGGACTGTTGGGCTCTGCCTTGGCTGGCCTTGCTTGCTGCTGGGGTGGGGAGGGGAAAACAGGGAGGGAAAGAGGGTACACTGGGGACTGTTGGGCTCTGCATTGGCTGGCTTTGCTTGCTGCTGGGGTGGGGAGGGGAAAACAGGGAGGGAAAGAGGGTACACAGGGGACTGTTGGGCTCTGCCTTGGCTGGCCTTGCTTGCTGCTGGGGTGGGGAGGGGAAAACACGGAGGGAAAGAGGGTACACTGGGGACTGTTGGGCTCTGCATTGGCTGGCGTTGCTTGCTGCTGGGGTGGGGAGGGGAAAACAGGGAGTGAAAGAGGGTACACTGGGGACTGTTGGGCTCTGCCTTGGCTGGCCTTGCTTGCTGCTGGGGTGGGGAGGGGAAAACAGGGAGGGAAAGAGGGTACAATGGGGACTGTTGGGCTCTCCCTTGGCTGGCCTTGCTTGCTGTTGGGGTGGGGAGGGGAAAACAGGGAGGGAAAGAGGGTACACTGGGGACTGTTGGGCTCTGCCTTGGCTGACTTTGCTTGCTGCTGGGGTGGGGAGGGAAAAAAAGGGAGTGAAATAGGGTACACTGGGGACTGTTGGGCTCTGCCTTGGCTGGCCTTGCTTGCTGCTGGGGTGGGGAGGGGAAAACAGGGAGGGAAAGAGGGTACAATGGGGACTGTTGGGCTCTGCCTTGGCTGGCCTTGCTTGCTGCTGGGGTGGGGAGGGGAAAACAGGGAGGGAAAGAGGGTACACTGGTGACTGTTGGGCCCTGCCTTGGCTGGCTTTGCTTGCTGCTGGGGTGGGGAGGGGAAAACAGGGAGTGAAAGAGGGTACACTGGGGACTGTTGGGCTCTGCCTTGGCTGGCCTTGCTTGCTGCTGGGGTGGGGAGGGGAAAACAGGGAGGGAAAGAGGGTACAATGGGGACTGTTGGGCTCTGCCTTGGCTGGCCTTGCTTGCTGCTGGGGTGGGGAGGGGAAAACAGGGAGGGAAAGAGGGTACACTGGGGACTGTTGGGCTCTGCCTTGGCTGGCCTTTCTTGCTGCTGGGGTGGGGAGGGGAAAGCAGGGAGGGAAATAGGGTACACTGGGGACTGTTGGGCTCTGCCTTGGCTGGCTTTGCTTGCTGCTGGGGTGGGGAGGGGAAAACAGGGAGGGAAAGAGGGTACACTGGGGACTGTTGGGCTCTGTCTTGGCTGGCCTTGCTTGCTGCTGGGGTGGGGAGGGGAAAACAGGGAGGGAAAGATGGTACACTGGGGACTGTTGGGCTCTGCCTTGGCTGGCTTTGCTTGCTGCTGGGGTGGGGAGGGGAAAACAGGGAGGGAAAGAGGGTACACTGGGGACTGTTGGGCTCTGCCTTGGCTGGCCTTGCTTGCCGCTAGGGTGGGGAGGGGAAAACAGGGAGGGAAAGATGGTACACTGGGGACTGTTGGGCTCTGCCTTGGCTGGCCTTGCTTGCTGCTGGGGTGGGGAGGGGAAAACAGGGAGGGAAAGAGGGTACACTGGGGACTGTTGGGCTCTGCCTTGGCTGGCCTTGCTTGCTGCTGGGGTGGGGAGGGGAAAACAGGGAGGGAAAGAGGGTACACTGGGGACTGTTGGGCTCTGCCTTGGCTGGCCTTGCTTGCTGCTGGGGTGGGGAGGGGAAAACAGGGAGGGAAAGAGGGTACACTGGGGACTGTTGGGCTCTGCCTTGGCTGGCATTGCTTGCTGCTGGGGTGGGGAGGGGAAAACAGGGAGGGAAAGAGGGTACACTGGAATCACTTTCAACGTACGGGCTCATTTGGAAGGAGAGGGAGGAACGGGGGTGGGGTAGGGGCGGGGGTGTGATAGGAGTACTAAAGCATACTCACTTTCAACGTACTGGTCCAAGAACAGCACTGTCGTGAGGGTGCCTACTTTCTTCCCACCGAGCCTTGGCCGTCGCACGTACAAGTCGAAGTCGTCGTACACCCAATTGCGCCCATCCGTCAATGCGTCGTTGCGATACGCTTGAATCATGTCACGAATGTAGCCGTTCCTGTACTTGTCAGCTTTCAGAACCATACGCACTATAAAATGCTCTTCCGGCTCATTGAGGCCTAGGGCCTTGCGCAGGGCCGCCTCTAGGCGTTCGGTACTAGGCCACATTGTGAAATCAGTGACTGGGGTGTCAAAAAACATGATATCAAGAGCCTCATCCACGTGGTCCTGCAGGAGAGCAACAAAAATTGTGCACAACATGGCAGAGTGGGAAAGAGAACAGGGGAGGGAAGGGAGGGCGTGAATGTATGTGGCATGAGGAGTTTGCGGGGTGGGGGATGTAGGCACCCAATGCTAATGTCATTTGTAAGCACGGCGAAGGCTGAAACGAAGGGTTGCTGCTCACCTTAAGGTCCCCGTTCACATCCGGGAAAGCATCTAACGCCGTGATGACGTTATTGTACCACCCGTGTTGCCGTGGCGACATTGCAGAGCAGTCGATGGCCTGTCGTCTGATGTGTGCCTTTGCCACAGCACGGCTAAAAGCGGCCTGCGTTCGTGGCCACACCACTGGTGAGAAAATCAGGGTCGGTGTTGCATTTGGCTGGGTGCAAGGTCGAGTGGTTGAAGGAGCAAGCTGGGGTGCAACCGGCAACTGTCGGGAAGGGCTGGGCATGTTGGCCTGGCGCTGATCCATGGCATGACTGCCAGCATGAGGGCCTTTTTGCTGAGGTTGCTGATTCTCCAACTCAGCTATGCGTCGCGCCTGTTGTCGGATTTGCGCTTGCGCGGCCTCAAAAGCGGCTCGCGAAACCCTGGTTGTAGCAGGCCGCTGTTCACCATCATGCTCAACTTCATTCTCGAAGGAGTCATCATCGTCGGAGCCTTCATCCGACCCGGCCTCCACATGTGATGGTCCAGGGTCTGGGAGAGCGGACTTCTGTTTGCGCACACGGAGTGCCCATGGGAGTCCAGACGGCTGCAATTGTGCAGTAGGGGGCGCCACAGCGGCAGCAGGGGGTGCAGAGGCTTGTGGGATGAGGCCGGAGCCAGGCTGACCTGAGCTGGTTGGGTGCAACCCAGGATTGATATAGGAGGGCGAGGGTGAGAGTGCACTGGGAGCAGGTGGCAGGGAGGTCGATCCAGGTGCAACGGCGGGCCTGGACTGGCCAGGAACCGAGACGTGCACATAGGCAGCGGAGGGAGAGATCCGGGTAGCAAGCTGATGAGTCCCCGCCGCTGCGTTGACATAGGCGGAGGAGGGAGAGATAGTGGCGGCTGCGGCTGAAAGGGAGGCAGAGGCGGAGGGCAGGCCAGGGACTGACTGAGTGGCGGCGAGCTGATGAGTCGCCGCCGCTGCGTTGACATAGGCGGAGGAGGGAGTGATAGTGGCGGCTGCAGCTGAAAGGGAGGCAGAGGCTGAGGGCAGGCCAGGGACTGACTGAGTGGCAGCGAGCTGATGAGTCGCCGCTGTGTTGACATAGGCGGAGGAGGGAGTGATGTCAGAGGTCCACTGGTGATCCCCGATTGATCCTAGGGAAGGGTTACAGGCACGGTTGCCTGGGGGGTTATGGGCGCACTGACCCGCTACTTAAATAAGCCCTTTTATCCCAATGGTCTAGTGGTTGGGATTCTGAGATGGTATCAGAGCGAAGGTCTCGGGTTCGAATCCCGGTGTGTGCACTTCGGGCATCCCAGTTAGGGGGGGTGTCAGAGGTCCACTGGTGATCCCCGATTGATCCTAGGGAAGGGTTACAGGCACGGTTGCCTGGGGGGTTATGGGCGCACTGACCCGCTACTTAAACAAGCCCTTTTATCCCAATGGTCTAGTGGTTGGGATTCTGAGAAGTGATAGTGGCGGCTGCAGCTGAAAGGGAGGCAGAGGCGGAGGGCAGGCCAGGGAATGACTGAGATGCGGCGAGCTGATAAGTCGCCGCTGCGGTGACAAAGGCGGAGGAGGGAGAGATAGTGGCGGGTGCAGCTGAAGGGGAGGCAGAGGCGGAGGGCAGGCCAGGGATTGTGTGAGAGGCGGCGAGCTGATGAGTCGCCGCGATGACATAGGCGGAGGAGGGAGAGATAGTGGCGGCTGCGGCTGAAAGGGAGGCAGAGGCGGAGGGCAGGCCAGGGACTGACTGAGTGGCGGCGAGCTGATGAGTCGCCGCCGCTGCGCTGACATAGGCGGAGGAGGGAGTGATAGTGGCGGCTGCAGCTGAAAGGGAGGCAGAGGCTGAGGGCAGGCCAGGGACTGACTGAGTGGCGGCGAGCTGATGAGTCGCCGCCGCTGCGTTGACATAGGCGGAGGAGGGAGTGATAGTGGCGGCTGCAGCTGGAAAGGAGGCGTTATGTGCATGTTGACCATTCTCTTGAGTGTATGTGTCTGCTCCACAACCGCCATCACCAAGTGCATCAGCGCGGCCTTTCTTGCCCGTGCGGACGAAAGTAGAACGCTTCCCCTTCCGCACTTCTTTAGGTTTCCTCGCACGGGTCTGGCGCTTAGTACCACCCGTGATCGACACATTGTTCAGCGACACGAATTTCGAGCCTGTGGCAAAGGGTTAAAAAACAAACAGAAGTAGCAATAAGTACATTTTGTAGAGTAAGTCGTTTGATCCGACAGTGCGCAGGGCACATGTTCATACGAATGGCTACGAGGAGTGAGACGTACCTTCAGCAAACACGTCGTCCTCGGGCTCGTCTTGGGCTCGTCCATTGCTGTGCATCGGGATGGCTTCCGGAGAGCCAAAGGTACCCACAGCCGGGTTTGAGGTAGCTTCAGCGGCTCTTCTAGGAAGAACTGCAGCTATGAAGGGACTTGGCACGGGCTGCATTGTGAAACTCAGGAATTGGCAGAGAATCGGTTGATTGGCCGTAGGGATATCTGGTAAGAACTAAACTAATATGCCATAATCTCACCTAAGGTACCAGATGAATAGCCTAGAAACCCGGGCACGTAGGAAGCTCAAAAGGAGGCTACTAATTTTCCCAGTTATTAGAAAACTAGGAATGGCGAAAGTAACACAAGGAGAAAGGTGTTTGTTGCTGGGAGAAAGAGAAAGCCTGGGTGGATGGGATGGTCGAACGGGATGGGATGGGATGGTCGCGCCAGTTGCGCAGCATCGTCCAAGCTGCAGAGTTTATCTCACGGTCGACGTGTGGGGCGCTTTGACAGCACATCTTAGTGTCAGATCGAAGTTACGTGAACTCCCTAAGGGCGCGCCCTTCTAGTTCGTTTGGATGCGGCTAAAATAGATTGTTCACGTTTTACAGCGGTAACAAACGTTTTTGGAAGGTCGAGATGGGTATTGAGCGCAAACCAGATGAAGAAAAGCGCCCCGTTACAAGGTTGCAGTGTGAGATCTTTTAGTGAGTTGCAAAAAACATACAGCCTTGGCTTTTGTTAGACACTTGAACTATCATATACTGTTGCTGGTTCTTGCGCACGATTAAAACCGTTGGCAGTTTAGTACTCCCGGTGCAATTAGGGTTTTGGTGTGTCCAAGGGTGAATTAAAATCAAGACACCTTGTCAGGGTGTAATATGTCACGATATCGCGTAATCGCCATGTGTAGTCCGTTTGAAAACATAATTTTGGCCTTGATAGGCTGCTGTTCAAGGTGAATCTACACCAGTAGTGCATGGCACACCCGCGACACGCATAGTCGTCAGGGCATAAAGGTTACGTCCACTATGAATGAATTCAGTCCGCTTATAATTTTTTACATAAAGCTTTTGTATAGATGTACAGCTGCAGGGTTGCGATGGCATGTACTAGTAGACTTTCAACAAGGTGTTGCGATCAGAAGGTGGATCGTGCCTATAATCACGTCAGCAAGGTTCGCAAGATCATAGTATTGCAACGGAAGTTTGTGACCTCAGATCACAGTGAATCTAGATGGACACAGTCGATAGAAACAAGCTCTTACTTTCATTTATTTATGACTACAATTGAATGCGAAACGTACTAGCTATCCATGTACTCTATGAGGTACTTTCCCTAATCCAACTTCAAATCAACCGTGTGTCGCGTAAAGTTACAAAACTTTTTCCGCCTTTGTCGTCGCTCGTGCAGCTACGCAATGTCGTATGTATTGATTGGAAATGTCCACGCTCTCGCTTGAACGTAGCAGACTGCGTAGTCGGGGGCGCGCATAAGTCGACGTAGACTGCGCGCAGAAAGTGTTAACGCGAATGGAGCGTTGGCCCCGCCCTCGCTTGCGCCATGCCGACGACTTGGTTGGGGGAGTAGCAGCCTACTGTGCACAGTGGGACAGCTGCTCGTCAGGCTTCGTCGAGCTGCAGGGGACGACTGTGTTGTTGCTGTTGACTAGGGAGCTTGATAGCTGCAACTGACCGGTCTGGGCGACGGGTGGGCCGTCGACCAGGTGGGGCAGTTCGACCGAGAGGTTGACAGGGCAGTACGTCGACCTGTGGTTCGACCGGGAGGTCGACGGAGCAGTCCGTTGACCTTCAGTTTGACCGGGAAGCCGACGGAGCAGTCTGTCGACCTGAGATGTACGTGGCAGTCGACGATGGGAGCTCGGCCCCGACAGCTTACACTTCTGGTCAACGGAAGGGGTACGTCGACCGGGGTGTGGCTAGACCGGTGCTGTGGTCGACCAGAGCACCTGGTGGTCGACCAGAGCACCTGGTGGTCGATCACGACACCTGATCGACGAGCAGAGCACCTGGTGGTGTCCTGGTTGACCAGGTAACCTGCTCGACAGTCGCAGACAATAGCAGACGGATGCACAGCAATGCAAGTCGGCCCAGTCGTCGGGGCGCATCAGTGAGCCTGCGGACTGCTGTCTTCTACGGGGCAACGCTGGACAGCAGCTCTGCTGCAGCGTTGGCACGCCGTTGACCTCCGTGATGGTGCGGCTCCTCTACCCAACGGTGGCAGGCGGTCGACCAAGTTGTGCTGTCGGTCGACCAAGCCGTGCTGGCGGTCTACCAGGCGAAAGCTGCTCGACGGAGCATTCGTCAAAATACTCTACGGAAGTCTGGCGGCTGCGAAATTCGTCATGTGGAGGTAGAGCAGTCAACGATCGAACTCACGCTAGTTGTTGTCGCTCTGCACTGTCAGGCCAGAATTGAGCAAGCTGCAAGCGAAGGCAAGGTCGAGCCTCATCGAGGTGGACGCGAACTGCAGCAAGCTGACCTTCTATCAGTACTCTGTACGACTGTACTCCTTCGTCGTGTTGCTTGAGCTCAGCGTTGGTGTCGACGGCGACTGGCATTTTCGGCACTCTACGCAGCTTGTCGCCTGAAGTTGCTGGTGAAGCCACAGCTATCACGACCAGGTGGGACTTCTCGCTGGTGACCTACGTGGAGCACCCCCCAGCTGAGAACAGCTGCGAGTCAGGTGCACCGATGTCATGTGGGTGCAGCGCTGTGCAGCAGACTTGCTGCAACGTTGGCACACCGTGGACTTGCAACGTGGGCAAGCCGCTTCTCTTCAGGGCTGGACCGGTGCGAGCTATGCTCCGCTGGATCGCGGTCGACCGTGCTGCGCTGGAGGTCGACCGACTTGCTTGCTAGCTCTGATGTAATCATTGTTGCCAAGGTTGTTGCTACCATTGTTGTCGGCTTTCCTTAGTCAAACACTGGCAAAATTTCACAAAGAATCTGTCAACTCGTGTGCGCCCAATGGAACGACAATGGAACGCAGAGATCACATGAGCACCCGTGCCTAGCCCGCAGTCTAACGCGCGTTGATAAAGTTATTTCCGCTCCGGTCGGGCCGTAGGTGACGCACCAAGGATCCCCTCATCGCCGGCGGCCTAGGAGGATCCGTTCCATGAAACGTCGACGACGGGCGGTGAAGGTGATGGCAACAAAGTCACCGGTCGGGGCACAGTAGGAGGAGAGAGTTTGACTTCATTTATGTCTGCATCATCGTGCTTGTCGCAGTCGGTGAGCAAGGGAGGCACATTCGAGGACCCATCTGGCGACGGGCCAGACGGCTGTAGGCTGCACCACCAGCACACCAACTTGGAAGTCGTCTGAGTCCATTTGAGGGTGGGACTATTTTACGTTCACCATATGAGGCATGTGTTATTTCGGGTATTTACTCGCACGAATAGTCTTGCGATTGTACCCACTTGACACATCCGAGAAAGGGTCCTTTGAGCATTGACTCGTCAGAGATGCCTGGAAAATGTACAGGTATGCAACGACGATGAACAATCATATAGTTAAAATTTCAAATAATGTTTGTAAGGCAATCAAGGGTTGTTATGAGAAATACCAGCACTAGAATTGCAACATTCGCCGCATGTATCGCCACAAAGTCAAATTGTAACAAAGTGTAATAATAAGAGAACATGCGTAATAACTTCATCTCACCCCACAAGTGGGTTGCGCATGGAAAGGAATATGGTACCCTAATTTTCGGCGACTTAAAGAGAAGCTATCGCACGGCCTGTCGATCCGTTTGGCCCCTATTGATAACGTGAGGAGGTTGTCGCCTACTTCTGCAATCAATAACATAGCTTGAAAGACAATGCCGCGGTGAAAATAAGGGTTTTTTCACAAACATGGCAAACACATGTAGCATGAGCTAACCAGGCCATAGTATTAGAGCATCTAGCATGTTGTCTCTGCTGGGCTCTTATATAGAGTGTGGCATGTTCCACTTTGTTTATTAGGGGTTAGGCTAGATGGATTTGTCTCATAACAAACAATCTGAGTCTACCTGAGCCACTCATCTCATATGCACCATCTCCAGCTGACTTGGTGGCTCTAGTTCTCACAAAATGCATGCCAACAATCCACCCCAATACCACTTGACCATGGAATTTGATGCAACTTGTGCTTTATATGATCAATCCTCACATGTCATATGGGGTCTTGATGGCTGCATCCAAACAAAATCACTGTTAGGTGATGCCCAGCTAAGCAAATTCCTATCCACTTGTGGTCACTTCCATCATGTGAGGGGCACATGAATCCATCCATAATATCAACAATGGGCAACTAATGATACCTCCCACAGTCATCACTGTTCAACTGCAGCACTTGACAGCATTACTGATGGTGTGCATGGACAGGAGTGCTGCAGCATTAAGGTGGGCATGAATTGCCTTTAATGCCATTGTATTTTCCTGGAATTTGCGTGGCCTTTTTTCTAGCATGAGATGTAGGCGTGAATTCCAATTCCTCTACCAGTTGAGTAAAGACATTCCCCACCACAAACATTCTCTTCCCAATCTTGCTCGACATTCTTCACGTCTTAGGTGAGCCACCCTCCTACCCGTTCTACTTAGCTAATGGTGAGTCGCCTATCACTGCTATTCCGCGTATGTTACTCTAGAAGCAACTCTAAATATCCATCTCAGCTCGTTTGCCAAGCGGTCCCCGAACGAACGCGGCTCGTATCATCTATTCCGTTCAAACCTGACTCAGTGCCGCACCCGCCGTCATCGCCACCAAAGGAGTTCTGTATCTAGCAGCCCGAGCTTGTGACTTCCTTTTCGTAGTAAAATTCCATTATTGGGATGTCTACTAAAGCTCCTCGTGCAGATGCGTATCACTCGGTAGAGATCTCGCTCACACACACCTTCTGAATGTTATTGAGATTAAGCAGTCGCAATCTCATCCTCACGGTCGGGGTCTCATTCTCGCGGTCGAGATATTTTTCTCACGTTCGATATCTCATATTATCACGGTAACAATCTCAATCACATGGTCCAGATTTCATTCTCCCGGTCGACATCTCATT